GAAGAAGATGGCCGCGGAATACAAGAACAGCAGCATCACGCTGGGCAAGTTTGAGGGAGGCGGCCCTCAGCAACCTGGGCAGGGCATTGAGCAAGGCATGGAACGAATGAGCATTCAGCAACAACAGCATTCTCGACAACCTTCTCAGAATGGAGCGCAGGCCGGATACGCATCTCAACCTCGAACATCGCAACAACCTCAGCAAAATCATGTACAGAAACCGGTCTCACAACTCAACGCACCGCTACAAGCGCGCATACCACGATACTGTTTTGCAGAGGATAAGTACTGGTTCGTGATCGAAGCACTGCTAGAAGACGGACGACAGTGGGAGCTGTCTCGCTATTACGAGGACTTTTACGACTTCCAGATCGCTCTTTTGACCGAATTTCCAGCTGAGGCCGGTAACACAGGGACACAGAAGCGTACACTGCCTTACATGCCTGGACCAGTCAACTATGTCACAGATGCAATCACCGAAGGACGCCTCCATAACTTGGACGCGTACGTGAAGAACATGCTGAACCAGCCCCATTACATTTCGAGGTGCAACCTGGTGAGACAGTTCTTTGCACCCCGCGAAGGAGATTACGAGATCGATCCAAACGACAACGAAGAGGAGTACCGTTTGTCACAAGCATCACAGCTGTCATCGGCCGAGTCCCCAGCTGGTGGATCACAGAGCAATTTGAACGGCAGCGCATATGGTCTTTCAGCTGCACCAGCGCATCAGATGGGCCCAGGTTCCCCTGACATCCAAAGACAACCATCTTCTTTGTCGCAACCCTCACAAACGTCTCTCGGTAACGGTATGCAACCCCAGGCTCAACCAGCATCAGCAATGAAGATCAAGATGTATTTCAACGGGGATCTCATTGCCATCCGAGTACCAACAGACATCTCATTCCAAGCACTCTATGAAAAGATTTGTGATCGTCTGAAGGTCCCGGCGGGTCAGGAGGTCCAACTGTTTTACAAGGACGAGCCCACTGGAGATAAGCCAAGTATGCTTAGTGACAACGACTTGGACTATGCTCTGCAGCGGAACGAGAAGCTTCTGCTCTATGTGGAGGCCGTGTGAAGTGCCCTGCCCACTGGAGATGACGACTGCGGCGTTTCAGCTTGATTGTAACGCTGCATGGACGGAATTGAGTTGACAGTCAAACCGAAAAGTCCACCAAAGAGCGTTGAGGGTGTGCACTGACGTCGTATATTCTCATTCCCGAACCATTGCCCGTATAGTACAGTACAGACTCCGGCCCTCCACTTCGAAAACGTGCGTTCTTCTCTTCCTTGATGGATCTACAATTTCTCATGAGTCCCCAATGGACGACACGCATAACTTCAACCAACACCCTTTTCCTTTCTTTTTCTTTGTCCCCCTTTTTCTTGTCCATTTTATTCTACGCGGATTTTATGACGACACGTCGGCGAGGAACTTGATGCTTCTTTGATACCATTTTATTAGCTGCATGACGCATAAGTTTCATGACCAGTGTACCTGACGCTCGTTGTCTCTTCTTTGGGCACTTCCCATGCCCCCCTATTTGCTCCTCTTTTGAAAACTTTCTTCTTCACATGTGTATTCAGGCGGGTATATGGCCTTTTGAATGCTCTTTTGATATCACACGACTGAGCTCAGTGCTTTTCTTCCCTTGACTTTTTATCTTCTTCTGTACTTCCTCACCGAAAGTGACAGGGCCTGGAGGGGGCATTCGGGATATAGGGTTGATAGTTGGTGGAGGTGATATGCGTTGCGGTATAGGGGAAGGGGATGGTTGGGGAGGTTCAATTAGGCGGTTCCAGCAAGCCGCATTTAGAAGCCTATAGGTTCCAAATAGCAGACATTGCTGGGGTCGCGAAAGGCTTGCATTGCAAGGATCTCGAGGATCAGAGGAGGCAAGATACATATATCTTGGCCTTGGTGGTGGTGGAGGTGGAAAGCAAAGATGAGCGCTCATGAGCGTGATGAATGAAAGCGACAATTGTGTTATTTTGTGTAAGCGATGCATGTGAAGATAAATGTCAATGGTGTTTGTCTGTAGTTAACAACAAATTGCATTTCTCTCACTTGAAGGTCTGGGTCGAATTGCTTAGGTTGGACAAGTTTCTCATTTAATCGAGTTGGCCGTAACAGTCTTGACTCTTCCCGTCGCTACCTAGTATCCTGTCTATCGTGTTCTAGAAGTCTATTATGAGTGATGGATCGTCATCGTATGCTCTTTTGTATTCCACCATACGTAGAAAAACCATGAGATGTAAGATAACTCCCGATGCTCGTGGATCTTTACAAGATCAAACAAGTAAATGCAAATATAGTCACGTAGCCTCGTAACTGTAAACGCCTGAAATCAAGGGAATCTGCAGGGAAACGCTTCTCTTGCAGTGTGAGATGAGACGCTGGATCCGAGTCCGTCTACTCCAGCTTGGTCATGAGATTCTTGCGAACTTTCATGTTGACGACACCGCCGACACCAAAAGCAGGAACGATTCGACATATTCTCGCAACTGAGCTGATGAACCAGTTGCGCCGCACAAGGTCTAATCGATCACGCATTGTCACGACAGCTCCTCCGGGTCCAGTCGCTTGACGATTGTATAGGTCTAGACCGAACAAATGCATAGGCGTAGAAATGAACTGCACCATAGCAGGGGCCATGAATTGCGCTGCGTAAAGCCCAGAAACTCTCTTCTTCATCTCCTCTGAAAACCGCTTATCCAAATACGGCCCCAGCAAAGGCGGCACATTGAACGACGCAAAGATGGTCAAGCAATCGCGCAGCGCAAAGAGAGTGTATGAAGCGAGAGGGACGGGTCTAGGGACAACACCAGGGGGACCAAACATGCGCACAAAGACCTGGTCTTTGTAGATGCAGACTCCGATGTTTGCGGCGCTGGACGCAGCGAACTTTGTGGTTCCGGCTGTGACGCTCGAGGCGGGCTTGTTGTTGACGGTCGAGAATGAGGTGTCGACGGCGTTGGCGGTGAGATATGTTCCGCCGTAGAGGCAGAAGATGAGCGCTGTAGGCTTGGAGAAGAGGATTGTGTGTGGGCGGGTGAAGAGGGTTCGGAGGGAGGATTTGACTGAGTTTGCGAGGGTGTTTGCGCCGGAGGCGTTTTCCATGATGGAGCTGTCATGATGTCAGTTTATTTTTTTTTGGGGGGGGGGGGTTTGGAGTTTGGCGATGTCGGCGTGTCTCAGAGACATCAAATGGCATAGGATATGAATAGTGGTGATGGTGCATAGTGCATGGCATTTACTGACCGGTCGATAATGGCAATGATGGGCGCTACCATTGAAGCAGCGCTCGCAGCGGACAGAAAGTCAGTACCGAGCCGTGATATCAAGTTCTTGGTATTCCATGTGTTTTTGGTGGTGATCTGCTCGGGCGTAGTTGTCCCGGCGAGAACCAGCGCCGGCGCATCAGAGTCTTTCATGATGATCCAAGATCTGATCTCTTCTTCTCCCTTCTCTCTTGGTGATGACAAGATTGTAACTCGCTCAGAAACACAGGGAAATACAACATCAAAGTCTGGCACGAAGAATGAGATGACGGAGATGGGTATGACGAAAAGAAAACAGGTTCCTGGGGGAATAAAAGGAAACTAGAAAAAAACCACTAGATAAGTTGATGGGAGGTTGTAGACTAAGTTAATAGTAGACCCCCGAAGCAACCCTTTCAGTGGATAAACGTTGAAACTGCATGAACTAGCGGTGCGCGGTAGCTGCTAATTCCCATGCGCTGGTTGGGCACCGCCTGAGCTCTGCTCTACTTTGGGGGGTTTATTTCAGTAGGTAGTTAGCTGAAGCGAAGCTCTTCTGACTGTCCGAGTCTGGGGGTGCGCCGATCTCGGCGGGGACTTCGGAGCCGTTGCCGAGTTTATGAGGGACTCAGATAGATATCAGCGGCTTGTTGCGGATACTAACGATTGATACCGGAAAACTGATAGATGCTGTTTGAGCATAAGGAATTTGATACTGGCAACAGTAGTTTACGCGATGTGCTCAAATTGCATGGTTGGTTACTACTTGCGCATTGTGTAACAGCCAACAAAACTCACGCTCAAGCCCACGTTGAACACCAAGATCAAAGCTCTCCCATCACGCATTAAACACCAAAAGTCATATAACAAACAATATACAGAAAAACGCACGACCTTGATAGCTTTGCCGCTATACGATCAAAGCCCTCTCAGACTCACTAGACCCTTCGCCTTCCTCCCCCGCAATGCTCTCCATTCTCCATTCTCCATTCTCCATTCTCCATGACTTACACGCCATCTTCCCCACGCCGACGTTTGCCGCTCACCGGCAGCTCTTCCTACCTAGGTAGTAGGTGTTCCTCGCCCAATCTCGTTGCATATCGGGTCTTATCTTTGACAAATTCAAAGACTCTGCAGGTCACCCCATCAAACTGATTCAGCCCATATGCAGGCACCGCATATACAGGGTGATCACCGTTTGACAGCTCCTCCGACGGCATGGACCGGCTTTAACTTTTACCCAAACTCTACAGCCAACACAAACATATGGTTCAAGCAGTGTGGAGGAAGAGAACCACGCATATCATTCTCGACATTCGCAGAGTCTCATTCATTGCCAACCGTAAAGACATTTTATTCATAGGGAATGTAATAATTCTCGATCTAATGCTACTCATAACTCCTGACAATCTCATAAACAATGCAAACTTGACCAATCCAATACAAGCTTCTTCGAGGGCATCAGGTTGTGGGGTCGTTGCCGACTCGTATCCTATCCCATTCTTAAACGGCCTGGTCCACAGGCACAGCACATGTCCAGAGCCGCTTCTCTCCGTCTCTCCACTGCTACTCCCAACATCATGCCAATTCTTCTGGAACGCTTCGCTGCCGGCCCCTCTGTTGGAATACCCACTCTTGACCTCGACCGATGAGACCCGATCAGAGAAGAGCCCAAATCCAGATATTCCAATCTTCCAAAGCTGTCAAGGACCGGCCCGATCACCAAAAGCCCGTAGCTAGGCGGGAGTGGTACCTGTACTTGAGCTTCCACCGTCGTTTCCACTTCCTTGCTTCTCCTGCATCGCCGTTATAGCTGCAGTGAGTTGATCGATCTTCCGGTTTAGCTCGGTGAGCTGCACCTCCATGGCTGTTGGCGCATCCACATCATCCTCACGCACCTCGATGCTCCTACCATTCGCTCGTCCTCTAGGAGAAAGCGTCTGGCGACCGACATTGGACTCGGATCGCTTCTGAGCAATTGCGTGTCTACCGTTGCGCCGAGAAGAGCGCGATGGACCCTTGAACCCAGCAAATTCATCTTCTACGGCTCCTGGTTTTCGATACATCTCGTACAGCTTGATGATGCCAACAATGGGCCAATGAGTCGCCTTGAGAAGCATGATACGCCCAGCACGGAACTTCTCATCGGCCGTGAAGAATAGACGCCAAGGTCGGAAGAGTACCAGGGCCAGCAGGTTGAAAGGAGGGAAGAAATGGGTGAGTCGGTTACTAGTCGACGCCTCCAAGACGTATACACTGTACACATACAGGTACTCCTCCTTAGCGTGGGTGATAACCCGCGAGAAGCTGTTGGACAGCATACCTGTCAGGGAGCCCATCAACAGGAAGCTGGAAAGTGTAATGAAGATGATCATCAGAGGAGGCCCAAAGAAAGGATCGATCTGGTTCATTATCTCGAATCCGATGGGCGCCGAGCCGTAAAATATCTTTGTCAGGATCCAGGCCATGGACTTGAATGCAAAGACATTACGGCCCACGAGCGAAAATGTGGTCAGGAAACCACAATACACGACAACAACAAGTACCATGTATTTGAAGAAGTCCTTGCCCATCTCCTTCAAGCACGGAATGAGCGTGCCCCAGGCAGGGCTGAGACTGAGAATCGAGAAGATACGAGGAATCATGAAGAGTGCCTCAAGTGCCAGAATATCAAATGCAAGGTCGTTCAGCTCGGGTTTGTTCTGAACAATGCCAATAATACCTAATTGTGTCAGCACGTCATCGCTTTGTTGAAAGGACCAGATTTCTTACGCAGAATTGCAAAGGCGAACCCGATGGCGATCATGATCATGTCGAATAGGTTCCATATATCGGTGGCATAAAAGATAGAGCCTGCATCAAGCCACTCGCTGAGCTCATCGTAGAAGAACGCCGCAATCCATAAGAAAAGTATCACTTCAGGGATTGTAATACGTGACTCGTCTCGCACAATGAGCACAGCGTAGTACAAGGCAAGGAAAATACAAAAGAACAGCACCTCCCAGCTCTTGAGATACTTGGGGACGCGCAGGCGAGAAAAGGGGTCCGCAGTCCTAGGGTTATAGAACCGGACCTTCTTTGTAGAGTGCACAGACAAGCTATCCCAAAAGACTATGTCACCACTCCAAATAGCAGTGATGATCTTTTGGACAATGTGCTGGCTGAGGAAGCGTTTGGCATCGGCAATGGCAGCAATCTCGAGAGCATTCAGATTCTTAAATGATGAAGTAGGATCACCCTCGTTCTCACTGTCCTCATCATCCGAGGTCATAGTCAGGCGGGAGAGAGAGCTGAGAAGTTGGTTACGCTTCATGCTGCTCCCAGCAGGGCCTGGTCCACGTCGGCGATTGTCAATGGAGCGGAGATGAGAAAGCAGAGGGGCGGTCTCGCCGGCCTCTTCGTCGCCCGTGTGACCATGACCAGCCGCCTGGGGCTGAGTCTGAGCTTCATCTTCATCGTCTACGCCGGGGATCTCGTAAAGGCAATAATTGACTGCCTCGCGTTCAGAAAGCCTAGTCAGGAATCGCCAAGCAACGATTTCACATGCATCTGCTCGAGATTCCCCCAGAGTGCGATGTTCTGACGAAGATGTATAATGCCATTTGAGAGCTCTGTAGAGATTGGATCAGTCAGCAAAGGTTCATCAGCAATGAGGAGTGTGTTCCGAGTCATCGTTGCACCGCATATCCCGTCAGCTTGAGGATGGGCTGAGCGGATATGTGATTGGCTCCCCTGGCGGCATGTCATCTGCAGGCACAGACAGATGCCACAAAAGGGCGACGATGCAGCAACTGGGAGTGATGTTGCTAGAGAACACATCGCCGTGAAATGCTTTCGGATTGATACATACAGAAGAGCATTGACAATTGCCGGGTTGGTGCAGGTTGCAGCGAGGTGATCCACCAAGATGCGTAGAGGAGCCCCCGCAGCTGTGGTTCTCAGCTGTTCAAACGTGCTCGGCAGTTCAATGACATCGACAAAGTATCTAGAGCATCAATTAGTGAGTGTCAATTGATGCTAACTCATGGTTACTTGCAGTGAGAGCTTCTTGACGACATCTCTGAAGTTATCGTGAGTGCCAATGTTGGGAAGATCGCGTTCGTATTCGTCCAGATGGCGGATGGAGACAGGACTACCCTCGCGAGGGGCAGGGAGCTTCTTGGATTTGACTTTGATAGGCATAATGAGGATCTAATTCAGATAAAATATGATTGATCAACGGAGCATGTCCCCCGTAAGAGCCATAGGTTTCTTGAAGTTGTCAAGAGCTGTCCCTCGGCCACGAGGTGGTTTTGAAGTCGAGCGGAATGGTTATTCCGTCTCCTTCCTCTGTTTTGACTTTATCGATGGTACGTGAGGGAGAGGAGATGCGGAGTTGGAGTGAATTGAGAAGGACCTAGGGATGGATCTGGGGAAAGATGGAAGCGCTCAAGCGGTCAACCAATTGCGGGCCTGTGCACCCTCGAAGGTAGTCAAGTTGCGCTGTAGATCGGCTCCCGACCACCAACAAATGGATGGCAATGGAACTGATGGTATCACGAGAATGAGTGGGAGGCGGGAGAAGGTGACTTTTTTGGGGGGTTTCAGGAGAAGGTCATCGCTGCCCAAATTAACCAGCCACTGCATCACGGCTACCATACCAAAAGTGTATGGTCTTTTTTAATCAACTACTGTCCTCCGAGCTTAGCGCGCACTGATGATCCTCTCCTCCAAATAGGCATCTTTCCTGGTGATAGCTGCCAAAAAGAGCTCCAACCAGAGGCTGGCTAGCTGGTGACAGTCTCAAGGGTTCATGCCAGAGTGGAGAAGAAGGGTCCCTGGACGGAGCTTGGCACCACTAAGAGATGCTTGTCAGTCTTTAGCAACTGGGGATTGGGCGATCTAGACTCAAGAAATCAAGATTTCGGGTTCAAGGTCAGGTTTAATGACACGAGGAATCTGGAAAGTCGGAATGGCCTCATATAATAATAATAGCATGGGAATTACGGATATTGACTACAAGATATAGCAATTGGTGTCTGATGTATGCTGTGAATCGATTTGATTGTATTGAGAATTGGCTTTTGTAGATACTACCCAGTAGCATCTGTTAAAGATCGTATATGAAATGATCTGTCGGGAGTCACCATCGTGCAGGCTTGGAATAAGCTATAAAATCTTGGAGTTTGAGATGGGCCTTCTGATGGCTTGAGGATATATTATAATAAGTTTGGCCTTTACCTGAAGGATGGATTATCTCGAGTGCTGAGTTTGACATGACTACAGATCTGTCAGTGCCTATTCTGACGATAACTTGATATCTGAGAACCTGGCAGATAGCAAAATATGTATACCATCAATGCCATGCAAATTGGTTAATATTCCCTTAGCGTATTTGCTTGGCTGGAACGCAATCCTGCATCATACTTGATGTCGTCCAACAATTGAGCTGTTGTTGGTAGAGGCTGAGCTGAAGAACGCGTCAACCGGCATCAGAGGTGCGTGCATGGTGACGATTACAGCAAAGAAAAACAGACGAACCAGCTAATGAAGTATCAGCCATGGGAATGGAGTTGTACATCGAAGAATCAGGTCAGGTAAGCAACGGACTATCTTTTAAGAATCGCATCAACAAACTCCCCCACATCAGCTTCTCAATAGACGAACCAGCCAATAACGACACATCTTAAAAATAAGCTGAGCCTTGAAGGAAGATGAAGCTTTCCAAAGCCACGCCGCCATTTGAATACCAAAGTGGACCTCAACTTCAGCTTGAACAACTTTGAGTGGCCCAGTCGTCTATTACAGATTCAACAGTCTCTTGAAACGTGGGAATGCAGAATGTGCCTGAGACTCACAGCCTCGAAATGGTCGCACCTCGTTGGCTGAGCAGTCGTTAGCTTTGGCGAGCCAGCGTGTCCCCGCCAGAGAAACCCCTGTAGCGGATGAGATCTGACATGGACAGCTTCTAGGGCTGGATCTGAGCCTCAGACATGAAGTGAAGCTCGCCAAATGGAGTATTTACACCAAAAAACGATGTGATGGGGTTGGTTATATATAAGGAGGAGATGGGAATGATTAAAATATTGTTTATCGGACAAGCTCATCAGCTCAATAGCCACTCTCACCTCTAGACTCGCCTTCAAATTCCTTCTCTACTGGCCCTGACTTACACGACTTACACCATGTCCACCACAACCTTTACATCAACAGCCACAACGGCTTCTTCCGCAACGGCAACTTGCACAACTGCTGTACCTGGGAAATATGGTCGTGTTCCTGTAGATGCGTGCAACGCCAACTATTTCTTCGATCCCAGCTTTGCTGCCAATCTTGCCTTTTGTGTACTCTTTGGTATGACGACCATGGTCCATCTCATACAAGCAATTCTTTTCAAGAAGGTGAGTACTACCGAGCAACAGTATTCTTCTAGTCTCTAAACCTTTATAGAAATTCTCCTGGGTAGCCATCATGGGCGCAGCTTGGGAAACCATTGGATTTGCTTTCAAGACCCTAGGAAGCAGAGATCAGCAGAACGCGACATATGTTATCTTGGGTCAACTGTTCTTTCTTCTCGCTCCTCTCTGTAAGCACTTCCATCCAGTATAAGGCTGTCCTTTGGGACCAAGGCTAACTGACTTAGGGGTCAATGCTTTCGTCTACATGGCCGTCGCACGCGTGGTATATTTCCGTATGCCTGACCGAAAGCTTCTCGGCATCAAGGCCATCCGTATGACTCTTCTCTTCGTCTGGCTCGATATCATTCTTTTCCTGGTCCAGGGAGCCGGTGGAAGCATGCTCTCGAACAACGAAGATATGAACGTGATTCGCATTGGACAGAAGGTTTACATGGCTGGTGTCGGTCTGCAGCTTGCTGTCATTCTGATCTTCATTGGTATCACTGTTTACTTCTACTTCAAGCTTCGACAACTCGAGGGTCGAAGTATGGGACGCATGAAGTGGCTCATCTTGACAATGCTTACTGTTCTCATCCTCATTGTGGTAAGTTCTTCGTCTTTCTTGATCCGAATTGTCCAGCTGACAACTTCAAGATCCGAATCGTGTATCGTCTGATCGAATTTGGTCCTGGTGTCAATGAGCACAACCAACTTTTGATTCATGAAGAGTATCCACTGGGCCTCGATGCAACCCCGATCTTGATCGCCCTCGTATTGCTCAACATTATGCATCCTGGTTTCGTTCTTCGGGGACCCGATAGCGAATTCCCCAAGCTCTCTCGAAAGGAGAAGAAGGCGATCAAGCAACAGAAGAAGATGGAGAAGAAGCAGGCTAAAGAGGCCAAGAAAGCTCGCAAGACGGGTGCCCAGGAACTGAAGAATTTGTCTTATGAGGGACAGTCTATCAGTAGTAATGAGCTCGTCTAGGAAGACATGAGCATATTTGTGCGCATTGCGGTGTTATTGGCTACATCATGATTAGTCGTGTTGGTTTTGTTTTGTATGAAAAGAATTGTGTATGCTCGTGGCACAGAATGACTTGGATCTTGAGAAGTTGTGGCATGGTATAGAGGCTCGTCTTTCGTGTAATGTACGTATAGGAAATGTGCTGGCAGCAATAGAGTGGAGGAATAAATGATGTTCTATGCATATTCTCTTGTACCCTGGCCACAATCATGCTAGATATGCATCTCGATACGAGTTCATAGTGCAGGATTCGTATGAGATCTGCAGTGAAGATGTGCAGTATCCCGATTTAGAAGCAAAAAATTGATGGTGAAACACCGCCACAGTTACCAAACCATGATGTGTGTCAGCTGATGCACTGACAGACAATTTAGGCGGCTAGAACAGTTGTGGCAGGTGAGTTCAATATGAGATATAACAGAACAATTAAGACATGATATAGAATATTGGCGTTGGTGGACTGTAATATTGAAAACGGAACAAATGGTCACGAAGAAGGGATGTGGTTGCGAACAAAAGAAGAGACACTAGCGATCACTAATGCACACAAAGATCGACGCAAATTGAGGGCGTGAGATGAGACATTCTTTAGTTAGAAGCCGCATGCCAACGTGGCAGATATGGCCCCTCTAGCCCCTCTAGGCCCGTTCTGAGGGTGTGCAACTCTCCAAGTGTCGTAGGAGGCTCTAGGTTCTGAAGACGAGATTGGTTGCTAGAAGCCTTCCAAGCATTCCAGACACCGACAAATTGTTTCCGGTTGCTATGTAGTTACTCTTATGTCGTCAGTTGTTTACTGAAATTATCATCCGTGCCTCCTTCTTCTTGCTTCTTCTCGATTTCTTTTCTCTCCAACGTAACTGATCGAATCCGTCAAACTTGCTTCTTCAAAACCTTGCTTGGTTTTCCAGCGACCGCCCCCCAGCCTCCCCCCGAAGCCCACACCAGCCTCTCATAAAACGGCCAGTTCCTCATCCCTGATTGGATCCCGAGTTGCCGTGGGATACAGGGTTGCAGTATCGGAAGACGCCCCCCGGCTGCCAGCACTTTAAACGTCTCTGTTCTGGTTCCTGGTTCGCTCGTCGACGGGCTATAACTTACAGATCCTGGAGTCTTATCTGACGAGAAAGTCGTAATCGAGAGAAATCAATAAGTCTTGGTCAGAGGTGGCTTGACTGCCCATGAAATAGGGTGGCAGGGTTTGCAAGGAAGCCCACACGCGACTCAAGCAGAGAGGATACATAGAAGCAGCAAAACCGTCTCGATTTTGAAACGTTCAGGGTCTTCCCTAGTTCATGTCCTCTATTTTCAACAATTTTGGAGACTGAGGTGTACTTTGCGCCAGCCAGCCACTTCTTAACTAGGTGCGCAGTACAATTCACTCCACTTGGCTCAAAGTCAGGCCAAGTCTTGGATAAGTTGACGAGGCACAGACTGAGTTCAGTGTCACAGGCCCCCCTTCTACTCAAGGGCTTTCCTTTTCTTCCTCCTTTGATCTTTTCTAACCCCTTTGTTACATCGTTAGTTTGTTTACTCATCGTATCATATTTTGCATCCTTTGTCCTTTTCACCCGTGCGCTGAGTTTCCTCTCTTCCGTTCAAAGGGTGTCTGTCCTCTTTCCAGAATCTCTCTCAGCTCTTAATATCTACGACTTGACCAAAAGAAAACCCGCCCGCGATCTTAATTACAATACAGATTTAACCGATCGACTATACCATGTTTGCTTGAGATTAGATTCACGAGATCGCAAATCATGACCCCGGCCCTTCTAATGGCGCGTCTGCCGCCGTTTCTCGTCATCTCTGGCGTTCTCAATCTCGCTACCGGCCACGTTCTGCCACAACCGACAAAGACGGTGGACTTTTATGAACTCAATGTTCTGCCGTATCCTCTCGCCGCGACGCCTGCGCCCGACGATTCATTGTTGCTGCGAAGGCAATTCAACACTGTCTGTGGTTACTTAGGGGGAGATCCTGGACTACCAGCAACTTGCTCTGCTGGGTCGCATTGCGTGGTAGATGTCGATCACGGCGCTGTGGGATGTTGTCCCGATGGCGGATCTTGTACATCAGGTGTATTTACAGGCTGTGTGGATGCAGACAGTGGACCACAAACAGAGGTGAATCCATATGTGTTCACCTGCAGAGGGAGCGACTCGTGCTACAGAAATAGCTACGAGGGTGGTTTCTTTCAATTTGGATGCGGTTCGACATCTGGTTTGGCGACAAAAGTTGTGGCTACAGCTTCGGGAAAGAGTGCGATTGACCTCACAAGCATAAATGTTCCTCTCACACAGCCAGTGAGTTCGCTATCTGAACCCACAACACTAGGAACAAGGAGGAGGACAACAACGACGGATGCTTCCGCCACAAAATCATCAACAACAAGGAGCGCATCTACAAAATCTACAGAAACCTCCTCGGGTTCAACAACAGAGTCGACAGCGTCGACAACAACATCATCATCAGAAACTTCCTCAACAGCTTCGGAGACCGAATCCGACACCTCCACAGAAACCACGGCTTCAGAGACAGCAGACCCATCGTCGACAGAATCTGGCGACTCTGATGCCCCTGACACCGACGGCAACGACAATGGCTCCAAGAATACGGGCGCCATCATCGGCGGTACCATCAGTGGCGTAGCAGCCCTCGCAGCTCTCATAGTTCTCGGCATTTGGCTATGGAAACGCAAGAAGGGAAATACGCGCCAGGGGCCGGGCGTGAAACACCAGGTGCAGCACATTGGGTAAGCGCCCCCATGAAAGACCTCATTTTATACTTTTCGCGCAAAAAGCTAACAGATGAATTTTTTCTAGTCCGCCGTTAGACAATAATCATAATTTTGCTCCGGTGCCCCTTATGCATGAGACCGACAAAATGGCACCGCCCCCACCGGTTCCAGTGAGGAACCAGCAGCGCACTATGAGCTCGGCTGCGGGCCACGAGGAGCCATATTCCGAGCCATGGGATCCTTCCTCTAATTATGGCTATGGAAATTCAGCGGGCGCTGTGGGTGGATCTTCGCACATGGAGCATGACGAGGTGCCTTTGACGCGAGACGACGACTTCGACCATAGCTACAATTCCGGCTTGGGACGAATCAGCGAGGAACACCCACGGCCTGGAACAGCAATCAGTACGCCTGGCCAAATGAGCCAAGTATATCCTGGACCTCGCGGCGGCGGTGGAGGACCGTTGTGGCAGCAGAACCGTGGGCCTGGGTGGTTCTAATTGTACATGAATCTGATGAAAAGGGGAGACGGCACATAAACAGGCGGCGGGTGACACCACAGCTCGAGAATTGCTTTGGCGTTTGCTTTTGGGTTAGCATATGGAGTTGATATCCGGAGTTGCATTACTATAAAGGAGAAGCTGTAATGAGCGGTTCCCAACAGGGCTGGAATAGATGAGCTTGAGCTTGGGTTAATCATGAGATATGATGGCCACACGGCCATGGGTATGGGTTTTTGGTAGATAGCTATGATATAAAGAAATTAACCAACATTGACATAAAAATCGTTTTATTCATCTTTATTTATTACTCCATTATTTTTATTTCTTTATATCAAATGGGAATCAAAGTCAGACGCTGAACGGAACTCAATACTTACTCGTCTTGAACTTGTGCTTAAAGGTGTATTCCTCTAAGTGGCATCTTACCCACCTGCATGATTATCAATCAGCCTACCGTGGTTTTAATCAAGTCAACCTCCTATAGTCCAGATCTTGACACTAGACTCGTCGAACACTGTCTTGGTTTCTGACGAATTTCTAAACCCCCATCCTCCTGAGCACGTTGCAACTACAGAACCGCTCGAATGCAAAGCAGTGCTTCCTACCGGCGCATCATGGGGCTTCCATGTCCATGATGGATCTACAACACCAGTTTGAGAGCCAACACCTTCCCACACCGCAACAACACCATCTTGTGTCCCTGCCCAGACCTCGAAGGATGGGAACTCAGCATAGGGATCGCCAGCAAAGACATCCACCATCATCTTCTGCTGTGTACGTGCGCTCCGACCTCGAAGGGTGCAGAGGAGTTCGCCTGTTCCGCGGACGTCATACACAATCAAACCAGAGGCATGGCGCTCGTTGAGGATCATGTATCGGCCGCATGGACTCCAACGGACCTGAACAATTCCCTGGCCTCCTATTCCTCCCGGTATGTCCTCAGAGGGAGGAAGAGACCAATTTGCAATAACCTTGTCTGAGCGGTGCACATCATACAATCCCATCCACCGTGTCCATGTCCCTGCAGCAATGATAGAGCTCCCGTTACCATCCACAGGCGAGGAAGCGAGAGCAGCGACAGTGCCCTTCATACCAACTCCATTTCCCTTCCGTATATGACGTCTAGAAGGGATGGTGGGTATAGTAAGTATCGGACCATCTGATCCTGGTCGAGTCATGTCAAAGTAATCAAGCCGGTTCGTTGAGCCGACGAGGAAATGCGTCCCAGGTGCATCCCAGAGGATAGACGAGGGCGTGATATACTCTTCTGTTTCGAAACGAATTAATTTATACGAAGCAAGTGGGCCAGAACGCGACGCGAGGCCATCATCATCTGGAGGGAAGAGATGATAGAGCTGAACAGGGTGATCGCGACATCCTACGAGGACTGTTTGCGAGGTTGGCTCAGCTAAAGAGTAGAAGGGCGCCGGGATGGTCGTTTGAGAGGGCTCAGGGAGTGATATTGAGGATTGGCACTCGAGATGTCGCGGGCGCGAAGCTGATGGGTCGAGGAGATCTTCAGGGAGGACAAAGGTGGATATTGAGTTTAAGGCAGATGATACAATGAGCGATGTTCCATCGGCAGTCCATTGTGCAGATGTGTAGTAATTTTGTCTGGTGGTGGAAGAGTTTTGCTTGTTTATGTCATTATCAGGCTGAATGATTTGATTTTCAGCAATGAGGTTTAATGATGGTGCTTTTTGCTGCTGATCACTGTCCCTGTCCTGATCCTGCAGATCATTCGGCTGTAACTCTGAATGTGAGGGCGCTGATTCAATTGCCGATTCAGGATCATCCATGTTCATGGTGTAAGTTGAGTTGAAAGTTGCGAGATGGTGATGGGCGAGAAAATGAGGTCCATGAGTGGAGACCTTGACTTTGTTTGACTGTCACTTACACCTACGCTTATCATGATCCTAGCCAATCTCTAATCTCGAGATATGTCACATCCAAGGGTCTTTTTCAGTTGGGCAATCCAAGGGTCCTGTGACACTCGCTCTATTGAAACAGATTTTGACGGACCTCTCACTGCAGATCAAACAACTGAGGCCATCGTCGACTGTCTCATATATCCTCATAGTAGCGTCATATGGATTGGCGCCAAGCCCCCCGGTAGACAAAGGATCTCCTCAGCGGCCTCCGACAAATCCAAATGGCCGTATGCTGGCCTAGTTCTCTTCTGCAGGGTCCAGCGGGTGACTGCACAAAAAGGGCAGCTCGAGATCGCCGTTTTCCGTCTTGGCAGCTATTGTGAAGAGTTGAGTTGAAAGAGGTGTGCTGATTGCAAGTATATTTCCAGGAGACATAACGCTGTGTCCCAGTTTCGGGTCACTATAATTTTGGGATTTCAGCCCAGGTACTGCCGAAGAAAAGAAACACGCGAGGTGTGAATGGGTACCAAGCGGAAGTGTATTTCCTCTATTCGGCGATGTAGTTGGACAGCCATGGTACTTAAGTTACAGTGGGAGATGGATCACCACTTGAAATCTTGGATGTTGTACCCCTAGTAAGGTACTAACCTACCTACGGTACAGTACATACCTAGGTAGTAGTACGTTGGAACAATTCAGGGCAGTTGCTCGAAGGTTTCCTCTTAGAGCCACCCGCTTTTCCTTTAACTTTTAGGTAAGGAAGACAGGAAGGAACAGTCTCATATTCAGCTTGAGGTGGTCGTCATTTGATTACATTGATGTTCCTTTCTTCCTTCCCTCCCTCTTCTCATCTCATCTCATCCCATCTCACCCCAATCCATAAGAAGCATCTCCCTTTGACTGCAACATACCCAAAGATAAACTGTATCTCGAAACTTTCTCTTCTGTTCTGTCTCACCAATCATGATCTCCTAGTTCAGCTGGCCAAAACGGGCAATTCATATCCTCGTATCCTCAACTATCGGTCAGTGCCGACTTGCTCGGCTTTCCACTCCAGCTCCAGCTCCAGCTGCGCTACGCTCTCTTCAGTCTCTTCTACAACGCTGCCCCTCCCCACGAAACACAGACAGCCTCGCCCAGAAAAGACACCGACTAAAATAACCCATCATACGTCACTCCCCAGCAACGCAAGGCGCCCGACCTTCTATCATTTCTCTCCACGCGAGCCCGTGCCCAAAACCAGTCCAAAGCTAAGCTGGGCAAACCTCTTTGACGAGAGACGACTGGACCCTGGCGCTCCTTCGTCTGATCTCGTGATTACTTGTGATCATTTTCTCTTTTGTGCCTGCCAGGCTTCTCGTGAGCTTCTCTCTCTCTCCCTTGCGACGCCTGCTGGGACAAATCCTCAGTCGCCCTCTCCCGAAGTTGCGCGGCCGTATTATTATACCCTCGCACACTTCATCTTATATCCGCCATGGACGTTTTTGCCCCAAAAGACGACCAATGCGACCGGCTCAAGGCGCCCTCGTATCTTGAGCTTGTCGTTTCTATGTATGGCTGCGCAACCCCTCTCTAAATTTGACGGCATGTGTCCTTGTTATTAACCTTGATGTTGTAGCGTCCTCTTACTCGGCATTCTCGTGTCCTACCTCCCTCAGCATTATCGCATTATCTCACGAGGCACCTCCGAAGGCATCTCACCTTACTTTGTATTGCTTGGAACCACTTCCGCTACTGCCGGTTTCGCCAATATCCTTACTGTCCCGCCGTCTCGTGCTGCCATAGGATGTTGCAAAGAGCTCGGTAGATTTGAATGCGCCGCCGGTCTGCTCGGCGTTGCGCAGCTAGGCGCTCAATGGGTTTGCTTCAGCCTCATGTTAGCCTCCACACCCAGCTCGATTTGTTTTCTCCACTAACATTTGAACAGTCTTGTGCTTTTCCTCATCTTCTTCAGATATAGAGAAGCCAATGTTCCACCAGAGGATCTTCGTGGCGATGCTCCCAGATGGCAGACCGCTGTCATGGTTGGACTACTCTGTGTCCTTCACGGCCTCATCGTGGTTATCCTGACGGGTGTCTTTTTCATTGCTCTGCCCGATCATCTGGTTTTTTGGGCCAACTGCCTGGGAATCATGGCCACAGTCCTGGCCGCTATCCAATATGTGCCTCAGATCTGGATGACATACCATTTGAAACATGTCGGCAGTCTGAGCATCCCCATGATGTGCATTCAGACGCCCGGTGGCTTCTTATTCGCAGGAAGCCTTTTTGCCCGTCTGGGCTGGGAAGGATGGAGCACATGGTTCATCTACTTGATCACTGCGTCTATGCAAGGATCAGTCCTCTTCATGGGTGTTTACTACGAATACATGGCGCGGCAGCACAGCGGTCATGCCAACGGCCACATCGACAGCGCACCACACTCACCTGTGCAATACTCGAGCGCGCCCCGAAGACCCCCGCCAGGCAGCAGGACCTATTCCGAGGGTTGGGAGCGCGGTCTTCCAGGACCTTTCACCGGTCACCCGGAGAGGTACGCGGAAACGGAGGAAGACCTGCACGATATCCAAGAGAGAGAAGAGCGTGCCATCGAGCGGGAGAGCCAACCATTGTTAAAACCCGGCGGTATTGGCAACCCTCACAGGACATACGACGCCACCGCCGAACACTGAGGAATTCACCTCTCTTACCTTAGCTTAAACAAGACGAGTTCAGGGTCAACAGCGAGCATGTGATATACCATGATTATTTGAGGTATTTTATTGGTATTTAGTGTTTACCTAGGATTGCATACTTTTTAGAAATGTACATTTTCTTCTTCTTCTGAGCCGAGCCGTCCGAGTTTGACTCATTAAAGATACATATTACGGCGCAAGGTATGTGTGGGGGCTTTGATGACTCGAAGTCAGCCCGGCCAAGGTTGAGAGAATGCTTGCCGACAGCATTCCTTGTCTCCCTACGCGAGATAAAGAGTAATATCATGATACTCTGGACTGAGCCAGCTGCTTAAGATGAAATCATGTTACTCCAAGTCAATGCTGAGATATTACATTCTACCAATGAAGCCTCGAGTAGCGGTCATTCTCAGCATCATCAGCTTCTCATGACAGAATAGAAGAAGCCTGGTGCCTGGGCCCTATCATGGACCTAAAATGAACCCCCCGCTTCCGCGGGCGACGGGTGACTCGCATCGCCTGCAAATGCGGAATTGGGTGTCGCTGGCTTGCCCCCTGTGGGATGCGGTCGAGCTGTGATTGGTTGATTGTGTCTAATCAAGTTGAATGAATCACCACATGTCATTCATGGTTCCTATCAATTCCCGTAAGAGGTATGAGACAGGAGGGGAGGGTCTAGAGATGCCCTGTAGCGTCCAATCCGATGCCGTCGATCGATTAAACCACCATCTCCATGGTTTCTGTCCTTTCTCCATTGCCGGAGCCATTTCTCCTTCTTTCTTCCATCTCAAGACCTAGAACCTAGAGATTCTTTCTTTCTCACTATCGAACCTAGAGTCTTTGTCTCAAGTCATCGTCGAGAGTTTCAATCACTCTCATCTTTAACCTAATCCTTATCGTAACTTACTCTATCATCAGTAACCACCCCGCGAGTCTTATCATCATGGCTATCTACAGCTCCGTTCCGCCACCCGAACAACAGTCGGCCTCAAATACTCCTACTCCCGCGGCGACAAATCCACCGCTGGCGGCTTTGCACGTACATTCACCTCCGACCCCAGTTAAGAATGGGAGCATTGATATCGATGCTTGGACTGTTTCGGCTCTTCAATCTCTCAGCGTTTCTCCGATCGCGCGTGGAACCGGCACTCCTCTTGCGATTCCTCTAGATGAAGTTGTCAAAGACAAGTCCAATTCTCCCGGGCGCAATGCCAGCCTTGATGAAGATGAGGCCCCGATATCGACCCTGAGACGACCACCTTCTAGGAGGGATAGCCAGCGAAAGCGGGATATGGTATTGAAGGGCAAGGAGGGCAGTCGCCAGCGTCGTCGCTGGGAGAATGGTATGGCTTTATCATTGATGAGGAAGCACTCCGAACTCGGATCTGCTTCCTTTTGCGCAGCAGCATACTGATCGTTGGCCTCACTGTGTTAGACCGCTTGATGGGCGTTCCGAACGCTCAACCGCCTCTGCCTTCCGATTACGAAGTCCATCCTACTCATCCGATCCACCGAGTGCCTTACCAGCTTGCTCAGTTCTGGGACCGTGGCGTGCGCAAACAGGTTGAGGACAAGACGGCCCGTCTCCTTGCTGAACGCAAGAAGCAGCAACTCAAGGCTGGCAGCGCCACGGGTCTCGGAGCTGGTGAGGTTCCTCGCGATCTGCGCGAAGCCACCAAGCGCAGTCCTGTTGTGCGCACCTGGGTGCGGTCCCTGGAAGAGCCTGTGCGACAATATCTCGCCAATCAGCAGGCTATGGCCATAACGTCAGCTGTCACCGCTGATGAAGACGATGATAGTGCAGCTGAGCAGATGGACTCGGACGATGAAGAGATTGTGTTCGTCGGTAGGAACGGCGCCATGAGGGAGCTTAGAGAGAAGAAGGCAACATGGAAACATGCGCATCGTGAGGTATCACAGGAGACCGTCGACTCGGGCATGCTATTTGACTCGTTCGGCACCGATGAAAGCGCCGCCTTCAAGTGAGTATCGATATCGAAGGTACAATGCACTACTGACAACTTCTAGGCGCTGGCTCACACATACCATCTCTGACTACTACGGCATCCAATCTCGCTCCGTCAATCTTTCGAATCCCACGCGTCGAGTCGTCTATGTTGGTCTAAAGACCTCACGGGGCGCTTTGCCTTTACGAACGCTGCCGCGGCCAATGTGGGAGGTCTGTTGAACGATTTTGAACATTTTGAGGGTACCAGATCCAACCTGAATAGTGTTTGAGATGCGTGAATAGAC